ACCCTAAATGGAGTTTCCCCAATTATATCCCTACTTAAAACCTACTTACTAAGTCCCATGATCCTCCAAGTAGACCCTAAACCCTAAACCTCATAGATCCCTTTAAGGATCCCTATAGATCCCTTTAAGGAGCCCTTTAAGATCCTTTAAGTAAGACTGGTTCTGCTGGTAGCACTCGGGGTCGACGGCCTTTCCGGCCCCTAAGCACTGGGTAGATGTCATGAGTCCAAAGACCCAGGCCTGAGGCTTATACGGTTTACCTGCACCCTAAAGGGAACTCCAGAAAGTTGGAATATGGTTTCAGGGTAGGATACCTTATCATTTGCCATAAAGGGTTTAGGATGATCATATTCCAACTTTCTGGCTTTTACTTTACGGAACCTACCTTTTTAGGGTTCCCTAATATGATTTCTTTATATAAGTCCTGAAAAAGGTAGGGTATTTGGGGTTAAGGTAGGTCCTACGGTTTTAAGCGGGGTTCCATGGGCGTGGTCGGCCATGTTGATTACATAAAGCGTGATGAGAATGTGAACAAAAACGTGAATGGGTTATGTTGGAAAACGTGACAGAAAGGTGAAGTTGGTCAGTGTTTTTAAGTCTTCTGGAAAACATGTAGATAAGGTGGTCGAAGTGGTGAATGTGCGGTGAGTCTAGGCCGAAACCTCTAAGCTTAATCTAGCTCCTAGCTGGGTTGGTGAAGCGATGTACAGTACCTGTATGCACATTGCCTGCTGCACGGAAGGGTTCAGAAAATAGCATGATTAAAGAATTCTTGTTTAATATAGATAGAGTTGGAATACATGAGGTTCTTTCCATGCATATTTCCATCGTTTTTACTATGTTTTTTTAGTTTCTATTGTAAGGGCCACATACCATACATGCCTTACCCTTTTTACGTTTTACTCCGGGTTTCGGTTTCTATGACAGCTTTATATCACGTTTCTTGTACGTTTGGTCGCACGGTTGTTTCATGTTGTTTGCACATTTTACTGGTATCCAAATAGTATATCAGAAGTATATCAGTATATCCAGCCACCCCAGTTCGATCCCCATGTATAAGCCTGCGGTTTAAAGGGTTTGGGGTTTCAGGTTTAGGTTCCAGCACGATGCGCGACTCTGTTGAGATTTCCAAGTTTAATTCAACACTTCCTTTTGATGGCACGAGTATGTCTCACAGCGCCGTATAACCATGTTCACTTGGTGTCTCTAACTGCATTCGTCTTGAAACTCTCTGAGTCCCCCTAACCGTAAACCCTCCAGGCCCTAAGCCCTATACCCTAAACCCTAAAAACCCTAAACCATAAACCCTAAGCCCTAAACCCTAAACCCTAAACCCTAAACCCTAAACCCCAAACCCTAAACCCTAAGCCCTAAACCCTAAACCCTAAACCCTAAACCCTAAACCCTAAACCCTAACCCCTAAACCTTACAAAACTGCGACTGGAAGGCCTCTACTTTTCCTTTATCTTCCGCTTCTCAGAGGCCCGCGTCCGCTTGAGAATTGAAGCTGTTTAGGGTTTAGGGTTTAGGGTTTAGGGTTTAGGGTTTAGGGTTTGGGTTTAGGGTTAGGGTTTAGGGTTTAGGGTTTAGGGTTTAGGGTTTAGGGTTTAGGGTTTGGGTTTAGGGTTAGGGTTTAGGGTTTAGGGTTTAGGGTTTAGGGCTTCTGGCTCTGAGCCGGTGAGTAAACGGCCCTAGTTGGATCTTCGGCTTGTCTAACAAGGTGAAGTATGCAACGCGGTTTTCATCAGTATGGGGACGACCAGAGGAGACACATCAAGTTGGAAGTATCCATGTGTGAATGCAGAACCCGACCCTTCTGTGAAGGTCCATTGTGAGGTTCCCAGTGGGAAGCTGATGGACAAAATTGCGGTGGAGGCAAAGTCGTGCTGGATGCCATGTTGGTTGGGTGTGGAGGCTACGTTAGGTTCACGGGCTGTTTGTTATAAGTTAGCATGCCAAGATATCTTTTCATCTTACTTGGCTCGAGTTTGGCTGATGAATTCAGATAGCCTGCGCACGCTTTCGGTGCAAACTTCCCGTGCTTGTTTTAAACTTTTCTCTCGGTGCGAGCTTTCAGTCTGACCGTCCGGCAATGTTCCGGGCCTTGATGTGTTTTCTGTCTGAGCCAGATCACGGGAAGTTGAGCGCCGCGGTTCATCTCATGACAGGTGCAACAGCCTAAACCCCAATGTGGCAACGATCATGGTACGTTCATGACCCAGATATTTTCGAACGAGACGGCATGCAACCTATATTTGATCCACAACGGTTCCTGCTGTTGATGTAAATCCTGCATGACCCATAATAAGAAATATACCGAAATTCTCATCGTTTAGGGTCCTTAAGGTAATGCAGGATTTCTATTATCAACCGTACGAAAAACGGTCCCCCTGCGGCATCCTCAGGGCCGTTCTGCTCTAGCAAGCTTTGCAAAACGTCGCGTGACATTGCGTGCATGGCTTTCACGGCAAGAAGGTCGGAGCGTGGGACTTCGCAACGGAGTCAGAAACAGGCAAACAGCAAGTTGAGAATGGCTGAAGCCATTCCCGAGGCGTCCCTAATTACGCCCGCAACACTACATCCCAAACTCTCAGACCTCAAAACCTAGGGCTACCAAAAGGTCTGGTTCCATCTCGCTTTGTCAAGCATCCTGCCCTTTCCGGAAGCGCCAGGCAGCTGAGGGTGCGATTGAGTTCTGCACTCAGAGGTCGTTGGGTTTTGTGTTAGCCGTTGCATCGCAGCAGATCCAGCTAGACGGCTCGGAATTATTGTGGTTATATTACACGTATATAGCATGAATGATGTAATGCACATTCGTGTGCATGTACATATATATATATATATATATGTATGTATATATATATATGCACATATATATATATATATATATATATATATATATATGAAATATTTATGTATATATACAGATATAGATATATACATATGTATGTATATATATATATATATATATATATATATATATATTCCCAAGATACACAGTATGTTACCCATGATATGCTTCATGAATTGTCTTGCATACCGCTCATGCTAAATTATGTCCGCCTGTCTCTGCATTCTTGTATCGTAGATTCACTCAGCACTTGCCTTCATTCACGCTTTCGAAGAGGTTTTCGCATGTCCCTGTCACTGCTGAATTGCAGGGAACTGAACTCGGCTTGATAACTCAGCAGGAGCCAGCAGCATGGCAGAATGTGGTTCACCGTAAAACAACGCGGCTGAACTTCAAAGCCCTGAACTTTAGCCCTAAAAACCGCTAAATCCTAAACCCTAAACCCTAAACTGTTACAGACACAGGCCTGTAACATGATGAACCCGAAAGTCATCTGGTCTTCCTTAGGAGGTCTGAGGAAGACTCTAGCCCTTTGGAGCCGTGTGTTGTATAATATGCCATTAAAGTTTTCGGTTCTAGCAGAGAAGTTACAAGCGGCACCCTAAACGGCTCAGGGTGTACGTTTCATCGTGTGGAAGTCTTTATGGCCGAGTTTCGGGTTGAGGGTTGATAAGATAGGCCTGAGCGCTCAGAGTCCGAGAGTTTAGGATTCTGTCATATGTGGATGCTCTTCGAAAGCTGTATCCCCCGGGATGTTCGCCTCAACCGCAACACGCGTGGAGACCTCGTGACTGGGGCGAGGTTGCAGCTGCCGAGAGCTTTTGCGGACTCCTTCAATAGGAAGTTCAAGGAGACGACAGCAGAGATGCTGAAGGCCGGAAGCCCTGGGAAGTGAGCTTGAAGGTCTAATGTAGGAGCTTTAATGGTTACCTTCGCTACTTTGGGGGGTCCTTATTGTAATTAATTATGGTATAGCGGGCCCCCAAACCCTATTCTAATTATTCAGGTCCCTACATCAGGCTGAAGTGGCGTTCAGTGTTTAGGGAGTAAGTGATTGTTCGTTGAGTTTGGTGACCCAATGTTTGCTGTTCATTGAAGGCATTTCTTGGACGCTGATGCTATGACAGACTAGGAAAATTTGCCGAGTTTTTTGGTTCAAGATCAAGCACTCAAGAACATATTTTGGTAAACGTTATGTATGTACATTGTACATTGAGATTTCTAGACAAAAAAAGGTATGTCGCGAGTAGGATCGCCTCCTGAAGTCAAGGTAGCATTTTTTCCCTGACGGCCGTTGGACTATCCCTTACCTCAGTACTCCAAAATCGAAAAATAGAAGATGTTGGGCCCAAGCTTAAAGGGCTTCTTGGAGCCCTCGCTGCAACTCCGGAAACATTCGATTAGAAACTGAGCTTTAGCCGGGTCAAGACTCTAGACCTAGGGCACCCGTAATCTGAGCTTGCATTCTGACCGTATGACCGGTCAGGATTTCACAAGAGAACTCCGTAAACCCTAAACCCTAGACCCGAATGAAGCACGCTCGAAGCCTCAACCAAGGAGTTGGGAGAATCCGACTTTACGAGCATCCTCATCAACAGCTTCGCAGTGAGGGCTGTTGCCTCAGATCCGCATTATTCACGAGAGTACATATACACAGACACAGTGTGTATATTATATATATATATATATATATATATATATATATATATATATATATAGTTATATATATATATATATGTATGTATACATAGGTATATATGTAGGTATGCGCTCATATATTCATACACATACGCATACACACATACATGAACAGGGAAATATTCACACATACACGTACGCATACACATACTCATACCCATATGAGTACACAACATGTACATACATATTTATACGCGCGCGAATCTGTAGTTGCATTTACATTGACATACACATAGACAGACTTCTACGTATGAATACCCATGCCCATGTACATGTACATGTATAAATCTACAAACATGCATACGCGCATACATGATACATGCGAACATGCGAACATGCATGTATGCATGCATGCATAAATACATACATATGTAGACAAGCTATATAGTTAGGCGGACAGGTAGAGAGGTATAAATAGACGATAGATCACTTAGATATGCAGTAGGTAGGTAGACAAATTAGATTAGACAGATAAACAGACTGACAGATGGACAGATAGACAGTCAGACAGATACATAGACAGTTAGACAGATAGCTACGCAGACAGATAGGTAGATTGGTCCGACATTATCGCAGTCCTTAAAAATACGGAATCTTGTTGGGTTTCAACATCTGACTTAGCAGTTCAGAGGGTTCCCTTGACACAAGCTAAACTCATACCTTAAGCCCTAAACCCTATCAACCCAACCGCGCATGATGTATACTGAAAGACGACCTATTCCACCAACAGCAACATGACTGCCCGAAGGACGGCCGGCCGTCTCTCTACACTCGTCCTAAGCAACACACCTGGGGTTTAGGGTTTAGGGTTTAGGCATAGCCCTGCAACTCGAGGCTTTTTAGGTAGAAGAAGCCGGTCGAGATCTCCACTTCAGGCCGCACAATGCATCGTGACTTTTGCTGCTGGCTGGCAGTGGGGCCTGTCTGCCACCGGCTTAGAACCGTGAAGGCTGATCAAGAATCTCGGATTGTGCGCTTTTAGGTTTCCAGACGCAATAGAACATTCCGTCATCGTAGCTGTTGAAATAAAAAAATGGCAAATATGTCTTGCTGCGCTATGTCTTGTTTAGGATTTCGGGTTTAGGTTTGTCGCGGCTTTTCTTTGCTGCTGATAGGGGTTGTTTCCGGACCACTGCTGGGGCTATACATTGGTCTTGGCACGAGTGTTCATGAGCCTGGTTAGCCTAGGGTTCAGGGAGTTAGAGGTTAGGGCAGAGGTCAGGGGTTTCGAGCTACTGGGTTTAGGACTTTGGGCTTAGGGGTTGAGGGCATGGTGCTCGTACCGATGATAGGAAGGTTGCTAACGCTGATGGTACAGACAGCAACTCCAGAGACCACTCAAAAGCCTGGGCTAGAGCCATCCGCCTTCATTCACACGAAGCCATGAAGAACCGGGTTGCGGGCTCAGAGTTTATAACTAGGCTTCCCAGACCTTCCAAAATCCCTTAATTAAGGAATATGCCTTAAATCATATTAGGGACCCTGTTATAATTTAAGGTATATTCCTTAATCAAGGGGTTTTGGAAGGTCTGGGTTCGGCTTCTTCTCGAAGTGCATGACATGTGCGAGCTAGATGCGCAAATTGGTAACTAGTCTGGTAACAGGTCTTCCCGCGACAGTTCATACTTCATACCTGCCTTTCCGCTTTCTCATCCAGCACCTATAAGAGGGCATTCGTAAGCAACAACCCAAAACCCACAGAATTGATAGTGTTTAAGCATAACCCTGTGCTGTACCCGAAGCCCCGGTACTCTAGGGTTTAGGGTTTAGGGTCTAATCATAATCTTTGGTCACTTGAGGCTGGATTGCTGCAGTTCCTGGTGGCGCCACTTTCCTTCACAGGTGGCGCCGAGGGCTTTCGGTTACCTCTAGCCCAAAGAATCAGAACCCACTTATCGTTTAGGTTCTTGTCATGAAGCTACTTTATAATATAGACTTTGTCGGGACTCTACCAAGAAGTATGTTTCGGTAGTTCAAGGTAGGCTTCAAGGGTTTAAGGTTTTGACTTAGGGGGGGGGGGGTCAAGGCTCGAGTTCGTGATCTTCGACGACCCCAAGTGAAGAGTTTAGTGTTAGGGTTTAGGGCCGTATCATAAACCGTTAAGCCCGCAGCACCCGCCCCAATACCGTAAACGAACCTTAAAGCAGACTCTCATCAAATGTCTTTCTCTCAACAAACTCAGGTGTAGATTAACCTTTTGGAGTTTATATAGTCCAGGTTAACCTTCTGTTGGCTAGGGTACTCCGCCCGTATGAATAAAGCAAACGACTCGAGCCTGCAGGCTCCTTCATTCGCTTGCTGACGAATGCCTCTTTCTCAGCACTTGTTAAAGGTTCCCTGAGGGCTCTTTATTTAAGGGTTCCTTAAGGGCTCCTCCTTTAAGGGCCCATCCGCCTATAGAATGTCTACACTGCCACACTTAGTAGCCCTTCAAGCCCAAAGTAAAATACTGTGAAGGTGCGTCAACCACTCGGGCAAACATAGTGCGTTTTTCGTTCATCATGTCCTGGCCGCGCAGCTATGTTTGCAGTCATCAGTTCCTGTCTTGTGGCGGCACACATGACCCACACGCACGCATAGATACATATATACATATGTACGCACGCATCACTATATGTATACACACGCACGGACGAAAGCACAGACACAGACAAACACACCTATATATATATATATATATATATATATACATATACATATATATATATATATACACACACACACACACTTGCTTCGCACAAGTTGTGTAGCAACACGTTAGTCTTGCCATTACTTGCGCATGCTGGTCTTATCAAAGGGAGTCCGGGACACCTGCGTCAGTAGCACGAGACGGGATCACTTGCATCGCCCCATATGGGTATATAGTTAGTCTTACAGTAAGCCAAGCAACCAGTAACCCTGATAGAAACACTGATGGAAGCTTTTCATTGCTCGGACATGGGCAGGCGGTTCCGACTTGTAGGGTTCAGGATGCATATAAAGTCGGATAGAAGTTGCAGTCGGCTGCAACAACGGCCCACAGTGTGGCCCAAAGCCCTGACCCGTAGGAACGATATCTGAAGAGCTAGTGGTCTTGTGCCCATGTCACCATGCGAGGTCTCCGATTGTGCCGGGCTTAGCAGCAGGATGCCGGACTTGGAAAGGTCTGTGGTGTGGGGTTCTCCATGTTTCTTGATTCCCTCGAAGGCACTGAGTCTGCATCGAAAGAGCAAAAATGTCAAGAGCTTGAAGATAAGCTGCCCTTGTAGGTTTCCAGTGCTTACGAAGTGTATCCTTTCCCAGCTGAAAGCCCCGAACCATTATTTCTGCTTCAAGGATCATGGGACTTAGTAACTGGGGCTATTATTAAGGTAACTATACTTATAGTTACTTATTACCCCAGTTAAGGTACTTATAACCATACTTACTAAGTCCCATACCGCCCATTATAGAACCCTTTAGGGAACCTCATTATAGAACCCTATAGTACCCTTAGAAGGAGCCATAAGCTCTACTTCCTAAGTCCCATGATCCTCCAATTGGTCTATCGACTGCAGGTCTCCTGCACTATGCTTGCAGCGCAGTGGCTCATATCGCCCGACCCCTCAGCTCGATAGCCCTACGAGGCATCTGTAAGGGATCCCTTTTCGGGCTCCTTAAAAGGATCTATAAGGGTTCTATAGTGTTTCTGTCACTCTTGAAAGGGATCCCTTTAAGGGTTCCTTTAAGGGGTTCTATAAGTTTCTATAACGGGTTTAGGGTTTAGAGTTTCCGAAAATTAGGGTTACCCCTATATTAGGCCCCCCCCCCATTTTCGGTGACGAGTTTAGGCTCGCTGCCGTCTAGTGCCGGTCTTTCCGCCTGCAAGCGCACCAGCTTGAAGAACATACTTGGAGGGGCAGGGGACTTAGTAAGTAGGTTTTAAGTAGAGTTATAAGTACCCTAAATGGAGTTATCCCAATTATAGCCCTAGTTATAACCTACTTCCTAAGCCTCCTGCCCCTCCAAGTATGGGGCTCTTCTATCAACCTCGACTCTTTAGTCTCGTTTAGGGGATTTAGGGTTGAGGGTTTAGGGGTTTCGGATCCACAGGTGCGTTTTGTTGCATCGAGTTCCTGCGCTTACACCCTGTGGCCGCCATCCCATCTGTAGTACTTCGGCCTTTAATAGTTAGAATCGGGTTTCGGGGTCCACTATACCAGACATAGTAAGGAACCCCCAAAATACTATCGGTAATTAATGGTTAGTTTGAGATTCTCAGGAGGACTTCACGGTATCGTGGTTGTGAAACGGGCCCCTGCCAGCAATTCTTCCATCGGGTAGTGATGCCTGCTCGAACAGCGAGGAGACACTCTGTTAACTGCAATGGGTTAGGGTCCAGATGCCGAAGCAGTATTCCTGAGAGCTTATGTTAATCGGGTACTTGGACCCTTGGGGTTCAAGAACGGAAACCTGTATCTTCTCAACAGAAGACAAGAGAAGGAAATACAGTAGATTATACTACACACCACAAACTCTCGATTTGGATGATAAGGCCTGCTGAAGATTCTATATGGTAAACTCTTCCTGTCATCTTAGAGCATTGACGATGCATGTTTTGCCGGTGTGGGCGGACGCGCAGATGGAAACTCGCAGCATTGTGGCAAGTGGAGAAGCTACAGACTAAAGATCCCTAAACCCTAACCCTAAAACCCAAAATCCCGTACTCTAAACTGCCCTACGCCGAAACTTCTCAAGTCCACAGCACCCCCAAACTCGACTGGAGGTCTTGCTGGCACTTGGACTTCCGCCGGCTGCCCCAGAGATCCCGCCTACTCGCTTTGGTGAGAGAGAGAGAGAGAGAGAGAGAGAGAGAGAGAGAGAGAGAGAGAGAGAGAGAGAGAGAGAGAGAGAGAGAGAGAGAGAGAGAGAGAGAGAGAGAGAGAGAGAGAGAAAGAGAGAGAGAGGACGGCCGTCGGTCTTTCGGCTGTTTTTGTCCATGGTGTTAGGTCACTGAATTGTTCGCTGCCAAGCTTCTGCTTCGTGTAGCTCATGGTCAGAACTCAAGCTGCATCTGTCTTGCTCGCAATTGACGCCCCTAGGCTCCATAGTAGTTCCTTTTTGGGGTTACCGTTTAGGATTCTAAATATGAACCCCAACAAGGAACGACTATGGAGCCTCTGTGTAAAGACGAGACAATTTCCTGACGGACGGCGCTGCTGTTCGAAAGCACAGCGCTTTGGTGCGACCCCTTGCGGTCTTGTCCTGTAGCCCTTAAGACACCTAAGCTCCCTAAGCCTCAAAAGTCTTACACATGCCTTCTTCCTGAACCCTCGCCCTTACGCCCTCAAGAGGTTGGCGCAATGGTCCGGGCTACCCAGCATCCGCATCGATGTCACGTTCCTGCTGGCCTTCCTCTTGGTGGACTTTGTGTTGAACTTGATGGTGTGACGGCCTCAGGTCAGAGTTTAGCGCTTAGGGTTGAGGATATATACGGAGAACTGGGATGATGGAGTGGGGAATCATAAGCCTCAGAATGAGACCTCGCATCGAAAGCAGCGTTGTAGCCATTGTCACCAGTGCTGCTGACACCAGGAGCTATACGTCATGGGCAGAGAACCTGAACCCGAATACTCAGCCGTGCTTTACTATACGCAGCTTCGTTCTCTCGAAAGCTGTGCAGTCTCATGATATGCGCTCCAAGTTATGGAATAAACCGTCGCAGTACCAATCACTGGTGGTTCCACAAGACGGACTGCACCTCCACACCATTTCCAGAAGCTCTCTGCGCCTTTCGCCCAAATCCCAATCCACCTTTCAAACTCCAAGCCTTCAGCCGACAGGTACACCTTTACTTCCGAGAGTTTCGGACCGCGCCGACTACTCGTCCACATTGCCGGGCCCTCTTCGCGGGTTTCGATCCTGCATCGAGCTTGGGGTCAAGGAGGCCGTTATTAGCCCTACCCTGAACCCTATAAACCCTACCCTAAACCCTAAACCCTAAACCCTAAACCCTAAACCCTATAAACCCTAAACCCTATAAACCCTAAATCCGAATAAGGACTCTGAGAAAGGTGGGGGAGCTCCTGCTGCCCAGACCTCACAAGCCTTCAAGTCTCGTCCCAGAAGGTTTTCTCCCAGAAGCTTCTACGATTCAGTGCCCGTATCGGGAGGCATCAGGGTTTAGGGCTCGAGACTACATGGCAGGGCATGTTGACAAGGGTCTATACCTAAATCAATATGAGGAGCCTGGCCTAGAATTTGTAAGGCATGCTAGTCTTAACTCAGGAATATACTTTAAAAGGAGAAAGAGCCCTATTATACATATGGAGGTATACTCCTCAATTAAGCGGTATTGGGCTCTATGGGTAACCCAAGCTTATACTAAAGTTTAGAGGAACCGTTATAGGAGCCCGAAAGGCTTCAACTTTGCAGTTCGATACACGTCACAGGGCACTAGGGTTTAGCCAAGGACACGAAACACAAAAGAAGAGAACAAGCACATCAAATCCATATAAAGCCTACGCTCCAAACTCTAAAGAGATCTCCATCGCAGTTCCTTTTTTTGGTTGCGTTGTAGGATCCTAACTATGAATATTGGTACAGCCAAACATTTGAACTACAATGGAGACTTCACTAGCGACAACAGGTAAGGTTCCGGAGTTCAGGATTCAGGGTAATTATACGGCCCAGGCCTATGGAACATTCAACACCAAGACCTATTTCTTGGTGGTGATGGGCTGCCTCCGTGGGTGTCGCCCTGAGTCCGTGCTAGCTGCGACGCGAATACGTCTGAACAGTACAGCTCCCAAGCCCCACCGGCAATCCTATCTTAATCTTTCTGAACCTGCGAGGAAGTGCGACTTTCCGCATTTATCCACAAAGACATTGTGGTTTCGGCCGTCGATATTCTGTGGTGGGGCTGGATGTTATATATATGTATATATATGTATCACTTACATGGGTTAAAGCACACAACGTGTAATGTATGTATGTATGTATGTATGTTTGTATGTATGTATGTACATATATACATACATATATATATATACACACACATACATATTACACATGTATACATTCATATGTTGCATAACGTGTGTTGGTCAGAGCTTCCGCCGGACGGATGGGAGCCAGTAACCGAAAATGCAAGCTCGAAGCCCATAATTCCTAAGCCCCCAAACAGCAAGACTACTGCCCAACACCCAACATCTTCGAATTCAACCTGGAACCCCAACCCGTAAACCCTAAACCCCCAACGATAACCCCAATTAGCCCTACCTTAACCCTGTATAACCTACCTTTTTAGGGTTCCTTATTATGATTTCCTTATATAAGCCCTTAAGAAGGTAGGCTATTCCGGCTTAAGGTTAACCCTAAATCCCTTCCAAGCCAGGCAGATCCTTGCAAGGATCAGTCCCACTGCTCCTAAGCTCCCACGACCGAAGCTCTGCAAACCGAGCCCCGTTCCTAGAACCAGCCCTTGGTACGGTTGATGATATAAATCCTGCATCACCCATAATAAGGAATGGAATATACCAAAATTCCCATAGTTTAGGGTCCTTAAGGTAATGAAGGATCTATATCATCAACAGTAGTTTATTACGCTTCTGCTATCCTGGCTTGAACCCTAAATCTCTAAACCCTGGAAGCCTAAATCCTAAACCCAGGTACGAGCTGAACTTGGGGCAGCTGGTCATCGCTTCCATCCTCACCATCGACCGAATCTCAGAGACTGCTCATCAAACATGCAAACAGACATGCAGAAGCACAGTGAACAAATATCTGTATGTAAACACGGATGCATTAAAGCATAGTCAAACCAAAAGACAGATATCATAATAAACAAAAGCAGTCGTGCACATGCCCATGCACAAGTATATCAGACACACACACACACACATGCACATGCTTACACGCACACACACACACAGAGACACACACACACACACATCATATACATAATCATATGTATATGATATTCATATATATATATATATATATATATATATATATATATATATATATATATGTGTGTGTATACGCACATCTAGCTATCTGTGTTTGTGTCCATGTCCCTCATCCTCTCTTTCTCTCTCTGCCTCGCCGTTGTGTGCTGTGTGGAGCATGCAGGGAAACTGGTGCTAGATGTGGAAACAGCCTGTGACACCGACTACCAAGTAGCAGAATTGCAGTTATTTCATTGTGCTCTTTCAACATCGCGCTTCATTCCTGTGTTTATTAGGTTCTAAAGGTGATGAAGAGGCACTGTTGCATACTATAGGGGCCTAAATGACTGCCTATACTCGTTAGGGGTTCCTTGTTATTAACGGGCCCCAAGACCCTATTCTAACTATTAACGGCCCCAAGACCCTTTTCTAACTATTAAGGCCCCTATATGAGCCTCATTCGACATCAACTGGCTGACATCATTTCCTAATGAAAGCCGCTGTGCAAACCAGGCTCTCAAGCAGAAGGGGCTGTACAAGCAGCTTTTGCAGGCGTCCGGTTGGCTGGGCACTCAAAAAACTTCGATCACCTTAATGATCCGTAATGTAGAAAGTGTAGGGACCCTGGGAAAAGTTAGGTTTCGGTCAGGTCCCGCGGTTTAGGGTGTTTGCGCCTGGTCGGTGACGATGTAGACTATAGCTTGCAGAAAGAAAACCACAAGCCAGCCACATGGGACTTTCAGAAAAAGCGATCCTTCTTGAAGACCTCACTTACAAGGGACCTTTGAGCTACCCGTAAGTGGAATCCGCCATGAGCGGTGAGCAGTGGGTTGAACCCTGCATGCTTCGCTTTGTGGGCGTTCTAGGTTGGTTCCGTTTGGGGCTTAGGAGCCTTCATTCTTAGAAGAACCTTACAACTTCGACAGCTTAGGGTCAGACATCAGGCTACTTCCCATTTGGTTTAGGGTTTAGGACCTTAGGGTTTACGGTTTAGGGCGTGAAAGGGTCCGTTCAACTGTTGTGGCCAGCAGCCGGGGAACCTGGAGCTGGAAGCCCTAAGTCTGCACGGTGTGACCTTGGGGCGCCATCGCTGAAGAATCCCAATTTTTGTTCTGACACGATAAGCCCACTGTTTAAAACACCCCTTGTCAGATCCTTGTGAGATTATAAAGGGGTCATATGGGTAGTTGTCAAGAATAGGGTCCCTCTTTGGGTACCCTGAATAATAGGTGCCGTGCTATAACAAGGACCCGAAAAGGGATCCTAATTTTGACAGCCACCCATATCGTGCCGTGCCGGGCCTAGAGGATGAAGGGGGAGATCAATTGAGTAGGAAGGATGCCACTGTCAGAGCCCTTGCGCAAGAAAACCTTGCTTCGGTCTTCCATAAACATAGGAACAGGACACTAAAGCTCCTCAAAGGAGGGTAGTGAAGGGTCTAGGAGAAGTATGCATCACCACCAGACAAAAGAGCTTGTCTATTTTGCCAGTTTCCTGCGGCTTGACACTGCTTGGACCCATCATAACTTCTTTCTTGTCGCTTCCGTCCTGCAAAGTTCATGTGGTCCTGGTCTCTGCTCTGCTGCCTTTTGACTTGTCAAGACTGGCAGAAGGAAGATGACTCACTTGACCCTAATGTAGGAACCTGAATAAGAAACCCTGGGCCTACTTCCCCAAAATAGTAGGATTCATATCAGGAACCCTAATAACGGCCCAAGGTTTCTTAACCAGGTTCCTACATTAAACCCAGACTCCCAAACCTTCTGCCATCCTCCTTCTGGCATGGTGATGTCTCTGAACAGGAAGCGACTAATGTGGGGGCCTCAAGGATTACCATTACTATTTCGGTTCCCCACTATAGTTTTAGTATTCTGTGCCCCAAAACACTGTTCTGATTATTCAGGCCCTGTAGATGAACTTTCGAGACCTCCGCCGACTTGAAACCCGCGAACTCATATGATGCTCGGCATTCAAGCCGACGCCTACGCCCAAACACTCCAAAAGCCAGAAACCTCGAAGATTCGGTGACTGCTTAAAGGATCGTGGGACTTAGTAACTAGAGTTATTATTCATAACGATACTTAATTTTACTTATAACCCTAATTCAGGTACTTATAACCATACTTACTAAGTCCCTTGATCCTCTAAGCACAGCAGACACCTTAAACCCCAAGCCCTCACGAATCAGGCCCTGCTTCACAGTCTGTTTCTACGTGGAACATCGGATCGGGCACCTGCTGTGAGCTTAGTTTCTCTCAGATATCTCAGGATCTCCGCCCTTAAACCAGGCTGTTCAGTGGTACACTTTTGTACTTTCAGGTTTCTGGGTTCCTATTATACCATAAGAAGCCTAAACAAGTATATACTTTTTCCCAGTGGGTTACTGAACAGCCAAGTGAACCGGGCTTAGAATTGCTATCTGCTGTCAACGGCAAGGGCTTTGGGAGTTTAGGAGCTGGGGGAGTTTTGAAGCTTCTATCAGGCTAGGGGATTAGGGCTGAGGGTCAAGCTCGGCAGGGAGTTTAGGATTTATAGGGTTAGCTCGAATTCTGGCCAGCTTCCGATGGTCAGACAGACTATCGGTGGAGGCCAGCATGAATAAGTGAGTGGATCGAAGGAGAACTTACATCCTGCACAGTCTGCAACTTGGGCCCATAAGTCTTACGCCCTGAACCATATAGCCAAATAGACCCCAAACTCCCAAAACCATAAAGTCGTAATTAACAGACCCCCCCCCAGTAGAACCCCTTATATTACTCGGAGTCAGCAGCCACAGGTGCAACACCTTGAAAGCCTTAGTGACCCAACTCAAACTTCTGCCACACCGAGTCGCACCTTTATCAACAAACAATCTATGACGTCAACAAGCCGTGCATAAGCTTTAAAGGCCTTGCAAGTCAGTGTTTCGGGGCCTGCATTGAAAGCACCTGTATTTGGCCTCTGATTCTGAACACCCCAAACCCTATAAGCCTTAAGTCTTACTGCCTATGTGGATAAGCACATCTCAGGGCATGTCGCTGTGATTCTGCTGAGGCCGGTTGTGTACCAGCATGCTCACAAAATGCAGCTTGGCTGAACAAACGCAGTACACCAAGCGAGTGAACCTGGAACCCTAAACCCCTATGTGGAACGAGCAAACCTCGAACCCCTAAATCATGAACTCTCCCTTGATGTCTGTACGCGATACACCTAAATCATCATTATATGAACCATTTTTGCAAAACTAATGTTAATACTGTGAATAATCATAATTAGGGCTTGGGGCCGGTTCTACAGTCTTGGATTGTGGGGTTAAGTTGTGTTTGGTGGAGGGCGCAGCGGTCGAAACTTCCAAATGCAAGTCGCCAAAGAGGCATCACTACCTGCACGACTCCACTGCCTTTGATGCGCACATCTACGGCAGTGGCCTGAACGAGGTCCAACGATCACGGGAACCTACACGCATGTTCACCTCGGCTGATTTGTAAACCAGCTCCGTGCACATGTCAGGGAGAGCTTCGATTCTTGGATTAGAAGAGCTGATGACTCCAGCATAAGTAGACTGGGAACGCTGTTGCTGCGTAGACATTTCTGGTGAATGTGGCGAAGCTTCCATATGCTAGTTTGTAATTACTCTCGTTGTGGCTGTTGCCCCCCAATCCCAGACCTGATGAGACCTAAATCCAAAAGCCGACGTTAAAGCTTTAAACCCTAATCCCTAGGGACACCAACCTGCACCCTGAAGCATTCCAGCGCGCGCTCTCCAGGAGTTTTTTTGGATCCTCGCAGAGACGTTGCCCTGTCAGGAACTCAGAGCACTGAGGCCGTGAGGTCGACGCCTATGTATCCCTTTAGGGTATCGGTGTTTAGTTTAGGGTTTACGGTGTCTCGGCTCAAAAATTCCAGTTGTAGGGAGTTTGGGACTTTGTGCAGGTTGTTCTGGTATAGGGTGTACATGATTTGCTCTACCATGAATTTAATATGCGGTGTTGAATAACAGTTCTTGTGCTGAGCTTAAAGTGCGCCTACAGTACCAAAGTCAAAAGTGGGTCCTGGTAGTTCAATGTGGGCTTGACATGCTAGGTGTGTCGTCGGCATCTGGAGAAGCCCAGAGACTCTTAGAGACGTCACTTTCGCGCTTTACACAGGGTTTCTGGGGAATAACACAGTGTTTGTATAGGGCTCATCTAAGGAAACGGCTGGGTTGAGAGGCTGGAAGTCAGGACTTGTCGTAATTTTGAATGGGTTTCCGGTCACTGGTTTGCTTGTGAGTTGTTTTTTTAATAAAATTTGTGAACTGTTTTTTATAAAAACAACACGCATGTTCGAGGCTCCTGTCACTAGGAATTGGCTTCAGAGGTAGATCCGGAAACCGGTTCACCCCCAACCTTAACCCCTTGACTCAAGCCCTAAACACAAAGTCGAGAACCCTGAACCCTAAACTGTAGCAGAAGTAGACTCGGTCTTAGTTTGAGCCTTCTTGGGAGCTGTCCGACATTGCTTGGAGGATCATGGGACTTAGTAAGCAAGGTTATAAGTACCTTAATTGGGATTATAAGTAGTTATAAGTATGGTTACCCTGAAGGGACCATAATTTCGACAACCACCCATGTAGGAGTTAAGTGATGATGGTTTGGGATGTAGCGGCTACCCGGCCCCTCCTCGAACAAGCAGCTCCTTTGGGTTTTGGGGTCCTGACGTGCTCATGCATTTAGGGCAGGACGGCCTCGGTTACAAATTCAAGATAACTCCTAGACCGTAGAATGTGATGCCGTGTTTTGGGATAGCCGACTTATGGGTAGGATGCTACACTTCGAAACTAGGTAACTAGGGTAACCAGAACCAGCAATACAGCATTGTAGTATCGAGCCTGAACCCGATCGCCTACAAGACTTTGACGTATCGTCTTGCCGACAACCTTTGACCCTTCACCTCTAGCAGCAACAGGGCTGTGCACGAGGTCTCCTGGCGCCCAGTTTCTTCTTCCCGTACTTTCTGCCTCCTGGCACGCGTTTGACGTGAGGTCGCGGTGGGCAAGTGTGCAGGTTTTTCGCCAGTTGTTGGTGCTTTTGGTACGTGGGATTGCTCATAAGGTGGCGTGCTTTCAAGCATAAGGTTAGCCGACATCACGCCTACTTTCAGCTTGTAGGATCGAATCGGAGAAAGCTTCGCATGGAAGAAGTGAGACCTTTCCTAAGTTTGCAGTCTTTTCCCAAGTCGGATGCACGCCATGCAGCAGGCTCTAGCAGTGCAAAACGATGCCGTGTCCTGCACGAGCCCAGTTGCAAGGTTTTTGGGTTACATTGCTACCGCTATGTAGGGGCTTGTATATGGGCTTGGTGGTGCGGCATAATGATCCTTCTGGGTGTCCTTAAGCCCCCAACCTCAATTATACTCTAGACTAGGTCCTAGACCCAAGGCCACATGTAAACCTTAATGCTTGCACTCTAAATTCCGAACCCTAAACCCGAACAGGGGCTAGTATGGAAATAAATGTCCAGACACTGCGAAAAAATAGAGCCTCAGCCGCATGCCGGCATATTCAGCAAACAGCTCATAGGGTTTGGGTTTGGGGTTTAGTTTAGGTGTTTAGCCAAATTCTTGCGTGCAGCCGAGGAATATCGACACGCTGTACTCGCCAGGGGCCCAGGTTGTACTTGGAGGATCGCGGGACTTAGAAAGTATGGTGATAAGTACCCTGCCGGGGTTATAAGTAGTCACGAGTATAGTTCATATTGATAACCCTAGCTGCTAAGTCCCATGATCCTTCAAGTGCAAGTTTCTGGAGGAGGCGGCAGGGCTTAGACATGGCCACGCAAAGCTTTGGATCCAGCGGATCAGAGACTCGATTCTCCAAGGGCTCCTAGGTACTGCTTTCGGCGGATACTTTGCCAAGCTTGTTCCAGGTGCAGCCTCCACCTCTACTTGCAGGTTCATGGATAGTTACAACTACGACTTATGAGTAGGATAACTATAGTTCCAGCCCATATTAGACTTGTAACCACACTTACCAAAATAGGGCGGCCCCCCGGACGTCAGGTCGTGGACCAACAAGTCTTCACACACTCGCACGGCGGATGAGAAGGACAGTAGCAGTCGCATTCTAGCTTACTCCTTTCATGACTCCAGAAGCAGGAAGTAATTGTTCTGAAGTTCTGATGTCCGGTTCGCAGTGGAGATTACCAAGATAGAGCTGTGTGCCGAAGGAGTATGGCTTTTGCGACGAGGCCGTCGGGGAGTACCGGCCAAATACTCAAGCGCATGTTTGTGGCTATCAAATTGCAGGCACGGTATTATTCCCACACCCTGAAGTCAAAGTCTTGAAGTTGCTTTGTCACTGTATTCCCGTCAGCACATCGGGATGTATGGGGCAACTCCGTGACCAGAGTCTTCCAGGGGGGTTTTAAATCAACTACTGCTGCTGGTCCTTATAGGGCTCCTACGGCTGTACTGTATGGGACTTTAGTATGCTCTGAGACTAAGTCTCCATATTTTGTAGAATGGTTTGTTGGGAACTGGGCTCTTTGCACAGTGGAAGCAAGTCTGCAGTGGTCGTAGTAGTGGCAGCAGCAGTACGCATAATATGAACAAGCAACCCAAGAAGGGTCATAGGGGGAACCTCATTTTTGGGATCCCTATAGTCTCGATCCTACTGTTTCGGGTACTATATTAGGGTCCCCCTGTTTTCGGAAACTCCCCAAACCCTAAACCCTAAACCCTTATAGAGCCCTTTAAAGGAACCCCTTATAGTACTCTTATAGTACCCTTTAAAGGAACCCTAAGCAGGCGAACTTCCATGCCGATCACCACACCCTGCACCGGGCGAACTTCGGATCGTCACAGGGCATTCTGCGTCGACCTTGGAGGATGTATCAGTAGACCCCTATGGTTTAGGGTTTAGGGTTTAGGGTTTAGCCTATACCTTAGAAGGGGCCCCCCACCCTGTAATTGTGGTAGAATAGGAAAATAATAGGGCCCTAATATAATCCTTATAGTCACTATTACAGGGTGGGGGCAGCTTCTAACCTATACCCAACAAGGGACCCCAATCAAATCTTTAGATCCCGGTCTTGACATAGGCCGCCTTGAGCTTCATGTTCTCATCTTTGAGGCCTTCAGGAAATGCGGAACCTCTTATAAGTCCATATATACCTGAACCCCTTAATACGAGGGCTCCAAAAGGAAACAGGCGCGGTAGAAACCTCATAGTTTCCTGCTTGCCCACGAGCGTCCATGGGCATACCATAAAATGTCCACCCAGCCCTCATCTGTTCCCCAGAGCATCCATGGGCCAGAGCTATAGTCACGTCCAACCAGACCTCATCCGTTCCACAGAGCATCCATGGGCCAAAGCCATGACTTCGTGCACCCAGACCTCATGCGTTGCCCTCTGCACCCACGGGCCAAAACCATGATAACGTCCACCCAGACATCCTCCGTCCCCCACAGCATCTAGGGCCCAAAACGATGATGACGTCCACCCAGACCTCATCCTTCCCCCAGACCATCCATGGGTTAACCATGATAACATCCACCTAAGCCACATTCGCTCTCGGCTCATGAGTCAACCATGATATCAACCACCCTGACCTCATCCTTTCTCCAGAGCATCCATGGGTCAACTATGATGACGTCCACACAGACCTCGTCCTTTCGTGTGGAGGTACGAACTGCCGCTTACGCAAGATTTCATTGAGTTTATGGCCGACACTTCCTAATTCGTCGTGCTGTTCTGATTTCCAGACTTTTAGCCCCAATATCAGCGTCTGTGTACAACACAACGGTTTTGTGGTTATTTAGACACTACTCTATGCTTTCCTAATTCTCTGGTTGTCAGCCTAGCCACCGAGTTCCGAACACGAAGTGCCCAAAACCCGAACGAAACGCACTTCGCTTGCATTTAGTCTCCAGCTTTTTTTGTGCGCCTGTGACCTCCCAAAAGGTCTGACGAGCGGCCGTTTTCGGCCAACGATAAGCCCTTGAGGAAGAAGCCTGAATAATCAGTACTGCTATGCCTGAGGGTTCCTGGTTTCAACGATAATTTAGATAATGCAAAGACTGCCACCAGGGATAGTACATGTAGAATAATCTCCATATCACAATAATGTCACATGCTGTCTGTGGTAATATTCACAAGCTCGGGTCCATACATGTAAAAATTCATACACGTGTACGTATATACATATATATACATATATATATATATATACACACATACATATACCTACATACAGACATACATCTATGCATGTATGCATGCATGCATGAGGCTCTTGACACAAGGCTTTGACAGCACAGCCCGTAAGCGGAACCGTCAAGAAGCGAGGTTGGATGTCTATTTCGGCACCGCAGGGGCCAACACGCGGGGCGCGGCAGGCTGTCCAAGAGATGTAGTTTCGATCTCAAGGTACAGGGCTTATGATGTGGGTTAGGGCCTCAAGAGGCTGAGGTTTAGATTCCCAAACTGAGCCGAGAGCCCCAAATCCTTGAACATGCAAGGCAAGGATCCCACTGACGACGACTGCGAACGAAACCACGACTGCACGTCACGAAGACGACTACGATTCCACCAGCATCACCTCCACGAACGACGGCGACAACAAACGACGGCTTCCGCAACTGCTGCTGTTGCTTCTCCTGTTAAAGCCTAGGCTACTGCTGCTCGGTTTCTGTGTAACTGCTTTGGATCTCATGCTGAAGGTCCTCCTTTTCCAGGGACTACGTTGCAGATTGAATACCCTCGGATTAAGGTACACGAGATATACCCAAGCAGCAGGGCTTCATAAATTACATATAGACTCGTAAAAGACTCTCAATTGTCTACCACACCTTCTAGCCCTGACTGACCCGACTCACTAAATATGAACCCTAGTCTCGAACCGTAATAAGCCAAGCGTTAAGCTCCAGATCTTTGGCCAACATCCAAAATCCTGAAACCTATCCCTCCAGCTCTCTAACCTGCGCCTGCCAAGAAAATCCTGAACCATGAGCAACCTCCAGGCTTGACGTACGAGCGGAAGGAGCATCCTAGCGACCCGGAGAAGTTCGTCATCCGAATCGAGCGTCCAGAGCTCGAGTCGGCTCGCAAGGTTGTGTTTAGTATTGAGGGCTTGGGCTTTAGGATTTAGGGCTTATTATGGTTTCGGATTTAGGGTTAAGGGTTCCGTAAGGGCGAGGGCTTGAGGTGCAGGAGGTATGTAGATCCTTGGGAATACAGTTTCCGACGTCAACCGCTTGGACGTCTGATTCTCTTTTCTTTCAGCACTGCCTGTGCATTGTACCCAGCAGGTTGTAGGCCATGACTCAGGAACCCTCAGCCCTAAACCCTAAACTGTAGGACATGACTCAGGAACCCTCAGACCTAAACCCTAAACCCTAAACTGTAGGCCATGATTCAGGAACCCTCAGCCCTGAACTAACTTCTACTTTTGGCGGAGCTTTGTCAGACTCGAAGTTGACATTTTGCTGGATGCCTCGGCGACGGAAGGCATAGGAATAGTTAGTAGTCGAACACCTTCAGAATTCCCTATGCAACAGTGCTTTGTCTGTCATTTACCCTTTTCCACTTCTTAAGGACATGAATGGCCCTAGATGCCTTCGTCTACTTTTAAGCATTCAGGTGGTTCTTACAGAGCCACACATATATTTCTTGCCCACTGTTTCCTCGTCGCCTTCTCCCAGACCGCCTTAAGACCGACACCTGAGGTCAAAGTCCTAGACGAGACCCGGTATCCGCATGACTGAACGAAGAGTCCCGGAAACCCTATCATGCCCCAATAATATCCTAAAGCTCACTTCTAACCCAAAGTAAATGTACACGTTTGCAGGTGTACTTTTGCACATCCATTTATAAGTGCGTGTGTACATGTACGTGGGAGATATTCGTATAAACGAAAGTCATAGTTGGTAATATACAGAAGCTCCTCTTTGGTACTGTGTCAAACCTTTGTATCATCCTAGACCCTAAACCCTACCTATAGTCTCCATTGTAGTTCCTTTTGGGGGTTGCCTTTTAGGATCCTTAATGTAAAGTTGGTTAAACCAAATAAAGGAACTGCAATGGAGCCCATAGGTAGAAAGCAATAGCAACAACCAGGCGCAGAAGGCTCCCTCAGGGTTGCGAGCACGGCGGCGGCGCCGGCCGTGCCCTGTCTTGCAGAGCTCTGGGGCTCCGGGCCCATGGGCTCAAAAGAAAGAACTCCTTAGACTACCATCGCCTACTTTTTTTGGTAGGTTTTTCCTTCAACTACCATAACCTACTTTTTTGCGGGTTCTCATTCTGAACCTTCAACTACCATAGCCTACAGCTGTGGGTTCTCATTATGAACATACTTTTTTGTAGGTTCTTATTATGAACCCCAGATTTTTCCTCCAGCTACCATAACCTACATTTTTGGAGGTTCTTGTCATGAACCCTAGCATCGACTTTAAAGAGACCGTGTAGAGAAGTAGGAGTCGGTACGGTTGATGATATAAATCCTGCATTACTTTAAGGGCCCTAAACTATGGAATGTATTACGGAATGTATGGTATATTCCCTATTATGGGTAATGCAGGATTTATATCATCAACCGTATGGCTTTCGGTCGCGAGTTGAGGGTTGGAAGGCGTGTGCTGTGTCACTGACATGTTCAGGCTGTTGAGGTCGGCAGGATTTCGCCTTAAACCCTAAAACCTAAACCCTAGACTTCTTGCTGGGGCTCACGCTGCTCTAGGAGTTTGAGGATTGTAAAGTTGTGAGCTTCCACTTTAACTTTCCCCAGGCGGAGGACGCACTCGAAGGGCTGTAGCTGGGAGCTGACAGTACTGAGGATTGTCCACATGCCAGACTTCTGAGACCCCCATATAGGAGTCTGAATAATGGTCACTGTACCCTGTGCCGGAAATCCTAATCTCTGAAACATGCAGCGTTCGCACCATGGATGTATTCACTCTAGACCCAAAACTCCCTAAACCTTAAAGTGCCTTAAAGCGTAAACTCTAAACTCTAAGCCCTAAGTCGTAAACCCTAAACCGTCCATGAGCTATCACACCTTCAAGGCTGCATCCCGCAAATAGGCATCACCCGACCCTAGGACATCCACCCAAGACCTTCGGATCCCGAACTGGGCCACAAGATTTGTGGTTTTAGGGTTAGAGATGCTCCAAGACCCAAGAGAACCACAAGGTTTGTGGTTTAGGACACTAAGCTTGCAATGAACCTCAAGATTTGGGGTGCAGTTCAAGACATAAGATGTGAGGTTGCGGGTTTAGGTTTTAAGAGTCAGGCCTTACATCTCTAGGCTTCAGAAACGAACCCGTATTTACTTTAAAGCGGAATTCCCAGACCTGAAGCCAAACCTAAACTCGAAATATTCTTTCATTGGCCTGGAACCCACAGGTCACCCAGGACAATGCGGACGAGCACACTCTCGCCAGCAGTGACCGTGTCGTTTCCGAGGCCTGTCCATCGAAAGCAAAGTGAAGACGGAAACCAGTAAATTCAGCAACTTAAGCAGCAACGCCGAGGCCAACTCAATCGTCATCTTCTCTTGCTCTACTCTACTCAACAAGGTATTCTTGGGGCGAAAAAGATCGGAAGGACCTCGAACACACGTCTGCCCCTGCTTTAAGGGGCATGGACTTCGTAAGTAAATTGTCAGGAGGTTTTGCGTGTTTTCTACTCGGGGGACAAACTGTTAACCTGCTTTGGGCCGTACGTATAACCGCAAACGCAAACCGCAAATCCTGAACCCTAGACCCAACACCTTAGACCCTAAACCCTAAAGTTGCAACTAACCCATGATCCTTTGCGCACTCCTAAACCCTAGACACCCTGATCCTCGAAGCACTCTTCTGGCAGGCAGAGCTGGCGTCAAAGACCACAGAGGAGGAGGGAGTTTGGCCCACAGCTGCTTCGGCTTAGGGTGTAGGTTCAGGGTGGGGCTGGGGTTTCGGGAGTTGGAGCTAGGGGGCTAGGAGTGGGATGTGGAGTCCTAGAACCATTTGGGAGTTTCCGAAAAAGGGCACCCTAACATACCACCCTAAATAGTAGGATCCTTTTATAACGACCCCAAAACGAGGTACCCCCGAAATTTCGGAAACTCCCATTTGGGTTTATGTCTTTGGGTTTTGGGGAGGTGCAGACAGGGCTTCGTGGAACGGAGCTTCGGGGGCTTCTGGAGATAAAAACCAGGCACAGAACTCGCGACTAGTGGCCTCAAGATGAGTATCTTTTAGGGTTTAGGGTTTATCCGAGTTTAGGGGTTTAGGGTTTAGGGGTTTAGGGTTTAGGGTTTAGGGTTTATCAGAGTTTCGATTTGGGATGTGTATGCACTGGAAGTAGGATTTGGGGTGTAGTGTTTGGCTTACGGCTTTGGGGAGTGAGGGTGTAGGGTCTAGGGTATAGGGTCACGCATGATGTAATTGCATGTGGGTCGCCTCCACGGGTTCATCTTCATCTTGCTAGGGGGAACTGCTATCGCTAAACCGTAACGCCCAAGCCCTGGCATGGATGTCAAGTTGCCCTACTAGGCCTGAGCTCGCACCAAAAAGCCGAACGCTAAATCCCAAACCCCAAACCTGCGGACCTCGCATTAAGAAAAGGTCGCTCCGCCGGTGGGCAAGTCGCAGCCTGGGGGTCCCGATAGACAAAACCTGGTGCACCTAATCGGACCTAAACAAGCAGAACACTGCATATTAAAGATGTCCCCTTATAAACTCCATGTTGTTGTAATCATCTGGGCTCCTATATTCTACTGTAAACTTGATTGTGAAAGCAATTACTATGCCCAGGGATGCAGCTCTTAATAGCCAAACAATCCCGGGTTTACATTAATTAACAGGTGTGTAAGCTTCTGGCTTAAACACAAACGTGCTTGGGCTTGGGGACTTAGTGTCGTGAGTGTATGGAGCGATGTCAAGAAAACAGTTCCCCGCCTAAGCCCTAAACCACCTTGCTCCAACTGGAAACGCCAAGATCTGGATTGCCATCGACGGCGACGTGTTGGACGTCTCTTGCCCTACATATACACCTGCGCATCTCCCTCCCTCGCTCTCTCTTTCTCTGTTTAGGATTTAGGGTCTCTTGAGTACTTCACCTATCGAAACTTTTGAGACAGCAGCTATAGTTCTTGCGTCTGGGCTCGAGGCTCAGCGATTCTGCAGCGACCGAGCAGAGAACCTCTCTATAATCCCTAGCATTGGTTCACTGCCCTAAACCCCTAAACCCTAAACCCCTACCCTAAACCCTAAACCCCTAAACCCTAAACCCTAAACCCCTAAACCCCTACAGACCCCTAAACCCCTAAACCCTAAACCCCTAAACCCTAAACCCTAGTAACAACGGCAGCTAGCACACAAGAGTAGCTGCAAGCGGAAGATCCCAGCAAGCCAACGTTTTGCCACGAAGGGCCATGCCCAGACCTTCCAAAAGCCCTTAATTAAAGAATATACCTTAAATCATATTAGGGACCCTACTATAATTTAAGGGATTTTCCTTAATTAAGGGGTTTTGGAAGGTCTGGGTGCAATCTGTGACTTGTCGCCGTGCTGCGGGATGGATGTAGCTGTAGGCTTCGGCAGCAGATCCCACTCCGTTCACTCTAAGGCCGTTTGAACCTGGTCCAAGAGTCCAAGAGTATCTGTAGGGCCTAGGGTTATTCATAGCTTTTAGAGGTTATGCAGCTAGATCGATCTATCCAGCAATATTTGTTTGGTTTACCCTTAGCACACGAATGCTTCTCCCAAGGTCACCGCCTTCCACAAGCGACACCCGGGTGGCAGCGACGTTCTCCTACAGTACGCCGGGGCCGCCGCCCTCTTGCATGGAAGTGAGGGGCTCCCCAAATCGATGGACCCATCGACACCCGAGCTTGGCTAAATAGTGCCGCCATACGGAGGCCTTTCATATCCAGCTCTGAACTAATCATATACTATATATATATATATACACATACACATGCACACACATATGTCTGTATTCTTTTATGTACGTACGTAGGTATGCAGGTGGGCAGGTAGCTAGGGAGGTAGATAGATAGGTAGGTGGGCAGGCAGGTAAGCAGGTAGGTAGGTAAGCAGGTGCATAGATAGATAGATAGATAGATAGATATTAGGTATAGGTAAAGATATAGGTATATAGACGATACAGATATAGATGTAGAAAGAGCCCCCTCCCCCCTCCCCCCTCCAGCAAAGCTACCTAGCAGTGTCCCGACTTACCCAGTCGCCCGGTTCTGCAAGAAAACGGACTCATTCTGCAGCCGAGGCAGGGAAACAATCCGGGCATTTACAATCCCGCACACGTCAATCCCAACACCCACTTAAACCACCCCACAAGCAGACAACCAAAGCTACACCTAGTGAGGCTTGTTGTTGCAGGAATAGCAAGAGCAACACTAGCCACAATGAAATGAGGATAAGAATAGCCTAGGGGAAACACCACAGCAAGACGTACACAACAGTATCACTGATAGTCTAGTGACAATCCGCCAAGGACGCCACGTCCATCTTCAAGGAAGTGGGCCACTCTCAGAAGGCGAAGGTGCACTCTCCACGAGGTTTCTTTGTTGTTTCTGTTTCGGGGTTGGAGTCCGTCGGATTACAGTTTTGTCGGGTTGGCATTGGGGTCTTACGGTTTCGCAGGGCTTTTGGCATGCTTCTTGGCGGCAGCTTCAGCTGTAGGGTTCCCTGCGAAGTTTGCTTGTGTGGTGTTGGTAGGCTATTGGCATCCGTAAGGGGGCCGAAATACACACCAGCAGCACAGACTTTGCAAGAGCTTCACAAGTGCAAAATCTGTAAACCTCTGTCAAGGACCCTGGAGTTTGGTGACTGGGTATCCCAGTTGGAGTATGTATCGTCCCATGCGAAGAATGACAAAATCCTGGGAACTAAGTCACGATTCTTCAAGCAGACCCCAATCTAAGTTCTAGGACAACTAAACCTCATTCCCACTCTCTTTTCTTTCGGCTCTAGTGGGTTTAGGAGTTCAATTTAGGAGTAGGGCCTATTGGATTTTGGGCTTTCATGTACTGGGGTAGAAATGTACGTTTCCGGAATTAGGGTTTCGTTTTGTTATTTTGGATGCTTGGGGAGTAACCCGAATTACCTTCATTCCTATACACCTTACTTCCCGAACGTGCTACATGACAATCCCTGGCTCCTGCGAGCCTTAAACCCTCAAAGCCACAACACCTAAGGTACAAGCCAGAAAGTTAGAATATGATTATCGTAACCCCTTTAAGGTAAATTATAGGGTATCCTACCATTAATCCATATTCCAACTTTCTGGAATTCCCTGTAAGCCCTTTCCCAAAACGGAGCCTGCCCGGAAGAGGCCATGGCTTTGAAGCGCCGAATCGGCCGCCTCAAGGCGGGATTTTCCCGGGCCCCTTTAAAGCGTAATATTGAGGCCTTAGCACTTAGAATAGGGTTTTGGGGTATCTTGTAGTGCATATGTTTAAAAGCAAGACAGCCCCAGAGTAGTATTGGAGAAATATTTAGGCCCGTATATTACCTGAGGGTGAGAGTTTACGCACGGAAACCAAGGTACGAATAAAAGATAAATATGTAACTGTTTGTTAGTCCTATCCTTTCTGAAGGTACCTTGGTTAGTCCAGTTGAAGCCTAAGCCGTAAACCCTAAACTGGAGCAATCCCTTGCCGCTTGCCTTTAGTTTCGCATGGCAGAACCTCAGCCGCTCAATCAAAGTGAAGCCGTCTGCTGATTCCCGACAGGGCCTGGTCGATTTTGGGTTTGCTGCATATATGAATATGTGATATCACATGAGAATCAGGACGTTGAGGAACTTAGCATGATGTATTTCAAGTCTGCATGCGTCCGCAAGTCACGGTACATAATATATACCCTGTCAACCCCAATCCTTGCGCCTTGTGCGGGCATCCACTCGAGAGCTAGGCCGTAGCCACAGCTTGGCAAATCACATCTACCAAAGGACAGACTGCTCTGACAGCATGCTGTTGGCTTTAGTACCACTTATTGTCATCAATTCCGGCAGGCCCTAAATCCTAAACCCCATGTGCCAAACCCGAAACCAAAAGTGTACATCTTACCATCGGCCCTGACACATCGGGTCTTGTATGAAGTTGAGCAGAGAGCTCGATAGTAAAGGGCTATGCCTCGATCGTCATTGTTTGTCAGCCAACATTCAGCCTGCCGATTTGTTCGGGTTTTGGGGCTTTCGGGCTTGTAGGGTTTAGCCTGCGCATGTCTGAGGCATTTTAAAATTTTGAGCTTAGTGGCCCAGAGGGCTCTAGACCCGAGACGGTTCTAGATCCTGTGGCTTAAAGGGTCATGGGACTTAGTAACAAGGATACATTGTTGTTAAGGTAACTATACTTCCAACTGCTTATAACCCTAATTAAGGTACTTAGAACCATACTATACTTACTAAGTCCCGTGATCCTCTAAGTGGCATGTGTGGAGACCCGAGGATGAGGCAGATTTAGACTCTTGAGCCCTGAAGGCTTAAGAGTTTTGGGGTTTAGGGCTTAAGGGGTTTAGGGGTTTAGGGGTTTGGGGTTTAGGGGTTTAGGGTTTAGGGCCGTGAGGACCCATAAACAACATAGTGTAATTCGTGAACTTATAGGGGGGGCCCTGAGTCGACAGATAGGCTGCTGGCGCCGAGACGAGTACGGGAACAGCACGGGAGAGGCCAGGCAAGCTAGGGGTGAAGTCATCCCCTCATTTGGGGGTTGAGGGTTTAGGTTTAGGGATAGTGGGTGTCATGCGTGGGATGTAGAAGCCAACCGGGGTGCATGGGCGAAAAAAATTTAGGCCCTAAGCCCTAAACTTTATGTTTTTTTGTTGCTACTGCTGATGGACAAAATCCTGCATTACAAAAGACAAGGAATATACCAGAGTTCCCATAGTTTCGGGTCCTTAAGGTAATGCAGGATTTTGTCCATCAGCAGTAGGATGGGGGCTTGGCAGGTGGAGGATGCCAGATTGACTGAAATGCTCCTGTTCCTACGTGAAACTACATACATGAATCATACCTACCTACCTACCGACCGACCTATCTACATGTTTTACATATATATATACACACAGACATAGCACATGTATACACAATGCACACGGACTTGTGTATTTCTGGGTGTTCTGCTATCTCACTTTCACGATACACTCATGTGCTTCTTTGTTCTTTCTTTCTATAGTCTTCTATGTCGCTGGTTCACCAAGTTTTTCGATAATCATATAATATCAGTTGGTTTGCATAATGCTATTTCTCCTATGCCAAATACAGCTGGAGCACAGTATATTCCACACCCAAGAAACCAACCGTAGTCCGGCGCACAGGCAATCGTCAACGGATCCCAACTCTTTCCCTCGAGGCGTTGATTCGAGGAGAAGGTCCAGGATGGCCTTTAACCCTACAAACCCAAAAGCGCTAAAAAGGCAACGAACCTAGGTCGGGAAATATTTGGCCTGGGCCCCCGGCAGTAAGAAAGCTGAATCCTCAGCCGCTTTGTCACTATGAGTATCGCTGATGTTATGCTTATTCTCGGAATCATCACTGAGGCCGATGCTTTCTGGCACGTTTAATACTGTTGAAGTTGTGCTTGCTCTTTTCATCATCACAAATAGTAAGTAGTATCAGTTTTCGATAGCAACGGAGCAACGGAGCACTGGATCAGTAGCAGTAGTAGTAGTAGTAGTAGTAGTAGTAGTAGTAGTAGTAGTAGTAGTAGTAGTAGTAGTAGTAATAGTAGTAGTAGCAGTAGTAGTAGTAGTAGTAGTAGTAGTAGTAGTAGTAGTAGTAGTAGTAGAAGTCGTAGTCGTAGTCGTAGTCGTAATCGTAGTCGTAGTCGTAGGCGTAGGCGTAGTCGTAGTCGTAGTCGTAGTCGTAGTCGTAGTCGTAGTCGTAGTAGTAGTAGTCGTCGTAGCAGTAGCAGTAGTAGTAGTAGTAGTAGTAGTAGTAGTAGTAGTAGTAGTAGTAGTAGTAGTAGTAGTAGTCGTACCACTAGTAGTAGTAGTAGTAGTAGTAGTAGTAGTAGTAGCAGCAGCAGGAGTAGTAGTAGTAGTAGTAGTAGTAGTAGTAGTAGTAGTAGTAGTAGTAGTAGTAGTAGTAGTAGTGGGAGTAGTAGTAGGAATGTAGCAGCAGCAGTATCAGTCATAGTGGAAGCACTAATTGTTGTCGTCGAAGTCGTTGTAGTAGTAAAGCTCTTGCCACAAGGCAGAGCTCCTTCCGCGAAGCTTGCTAGCAGGACGGCCTCTCAGTTACGCGTTGGCGAGTTAGGGTTGAGGGTGTAGCATGGGCATGTGGAGCTAAGATTGGAGATTGCTCCACGCAGCAACGTTGGATTATCTTCAAAATATGGGTAAAGAAAGCCCGTAATTGCACCCTTGTTGCTGTCAGTATATGAGGGACAGTATTCAGGGTTTAAAGTTTAGGGTTTAGGGGCTGTTTGCATCAATGTCGCAAATGAACATGCGAGACGGATGAAAGAGTAGCAAGGCAATAGCAAATGAGTACTGTGGGAGATTAAAACAGACTGGAGGTGGCAACAACACTCACCACGGTAGTGTCACTGCTATCACTACCAAGTCACTACCATTGCTACCTGCTGCTACTATTACCACCACGACGACGATGACGACGACTACTACGGTCACCGCGCCAACACCACTAGGAATTCCACTACTGTTGCTGTTTCTGCTACTGTTACTGCTGTCATGACTGCTCTGGTAGCTAGCACCGCTTTGAGAATGTGTGCATCTTTCGTGCAACAGTTGTCTTGATCATGGCGTCTTCGGCACTCAGTGAGCTCATAGCCGAATACTTCCTTCAAAAAAACGTACAAAAGCTTATCCGAAATGTCAACCCTAAACCCGACCTTGAATCCCTAAACCAAAGTTCGCACGACCCCAGCGACTTGATCAATTGGTTTTCATTCAGAGTTCCACCTTGGTGGTTGTCAAAATTAGGGTCCCTTTTTAGATCCCTTATTTTGTACGGCACCTCAGATTTAGGGTACCCAATAAGGGACCTTAATTCTGACAACTATCCACGTGGGTCTTGGCTTACGCGTTACTCGTACTCCAGCCTGTTTTGGTTTGCCGTGAAGTGAAACCCAACGATGTCTTCATCCCTTCAGATTCAAGATGCCTGAAAGGGGCAGTAAGTTGGTTTTGAGCCCTCTGAGCTTCTAAGATTCGAAGCCCAAATCCCTAAACCCTAAAACCCTAAACCCAAAACCCCAAAAACCCAAGCCCTTCGTGATCTCAGTGCAGACATAAAGGGTTTTCGAGCCTTATAGGTGTTGTATTTGGGTTCGATGGCTCGTAACCGCTATGGTACTCCTTCTTATAACCTCTGTCGTAGTACCCTAACTCCAACCCTCAAACCCTTATGGTATCCCTGAACCCAAACCCTTCCGGTAACTTGTACAGATTGCAAGAAGGAGCTGCTCATGAGCAGGCTAGAGTAGCTTTACAGAGAGTGAAAACAGCCCCTTGTTTTAGGAAAGGACCTCCAAGTATGCACGGCACCTTGTTATGATTTCTCGTTAGGGGGTGTGACCTGAAGTATCTGAGGCTCCTTCTTGCAATTTGAACTATTGATTATCGGTCGTTAGGCTCTATAATTCAGTCAATACCACAAATTTTCTCTTGAATCATTGCTGGCTCCATTGCAAAATCACATGAAGCCCAGGAGGAAGGTAGCAGCGAAGAGCCGCACGGTGCTGCCAGAATGCAGATATGTGGAATCCATCTCTGGCAACTGTGGTGTCACGTAAGTGAGTCACCACGAATTAGCCGTCGCAGCATTTGCGATCTTACAACTAACCTGTGGTTGTCTTAGGGAATGGCGGAATGGATCCCAATGGTAGTCCCTTAAGGTCCCCCATAGTAGTCCCTTAAGGTCCCCCATAGTAGTCCCTTAAGGTCCCCTATGGTAGTCCCTTAAGGTCCCCTATAGTAGTCCCTTAAGGTCCCCTATAGTAGTCCCAATAATTCATCCCCCCATTTCTTGCTAAGAACCAGACAGTAACCCTTCAACTCGACCGAATGGGCCTGGAGCTGCAAGACTCCTAGGTTTACATACGGGAAATTCGTAGTCTGCCCCTGTCTTTGTTTTACGATCAAGTCTTCCATAGCCCAACTGTTAACCACGCTACTGCGGGACTTGTGTTGAGAACATTTGAAGTTTGGGGCTTTAGGGTTTAATGCTTGCTTGGGGTGTAGATGCCATGAACTTCTTTCGGCATTAAGGCTGAAGGCGCAGAGCTGCGTGTCATTTTTGCCGGACACGGTCACAGATGCTGGCGACGGCTGCCTGTTTTGCGGCAGCCATGTGCACTCTCCTCCGCTTCGGTCCCTATGTCTTTCTTCCATGAACTCACGAGTTGGGTTTGGATGTACCTTAGCCCAGACAAGTTACCTTTTTCAAGCATTCATACAAGGAAATCATAACAAAGGTCTGCCATACTAGCCCACATAACCTACCTTTTCAAGACCTATATGAGGAGCCCACACAGGGGTTGCTACAATAGGGCTACGATAATGGCTATATGGGTGGTTGTCAAAATTATGGTCCCTTTCTGGGTACCCTAAATATTTGTTGCCGTACTATGATAAGGACCCAAAAGGGACCTTACTATTGACAACCACCCCTATTGCTATCAAGGAATACTACGAGGGCTCTAGGAGGATTCGTCTAGAAGTCGCGAGTTTCGCTGCTGGATTTGCTAGAAGTTAGCAGGAGGAGTGTGCCTTGTCTGGCCCTTGGCGAGTTTCTCTGACATGTCTGTTTCCACGCACAGGGTGTAATCCTTACCGTAACCCTTATCACTAACTTAGATAATACCCTTCTTCACAGCCCTCATGCTGTGAATGAGCGGAAAGTCGAGAAACTCCTCGATCCCCTACACTTTAAGGAGCTTGCAGATTGAATGTATCTCGTTTTGCCGCCGCCCTCAGAAGAAGTGGTAGGCTTCGCCTCCCTGTGTGAATGGCAGCCTCGGTTCGCGGTAGCCAGCTGTTGCCTCAACGAATCTTCCACTACCTCACATCCAGTCATCCGTCTGTCTACCGTCTGAGATCCAAGATACCTTTTGCAGCACACCTTTGCGGCGGTGTGTTATGCAGAGCATCACCGTCCTACTGAGCGTTTGGCTCATGGGCGGTAGACGTTCGTGCCTTAATATAGGGGCCTAAACAACTAGAATAGGGTTTCGGGGCCCATTATACCATAAATTTAATAATGAACCCTCAAAATAGTATTGGTAACTATTTAGGTCCCTATAAATAGTACCATTACTTTGGACATAATAATGAACCCTCAAAATAGTGTTGGTAATTATTTAGGTCCCTATAGTATGGCCCAAGGCCTGAAAATCAGTTGCAGGAGCTTTGCATTGGATGTTGGGCTTGAAGGTTTAGGGTTTAGGGGTTTAGGGTTTGGGGGTTTAGGGTTTAGATCCTCGGCGTGAATCGTGTTCTGAATCAATTACAAGCTCGGGGCTTGGAGTCAGTTCTTGAAGGGTGAGGAGTTTGCAGTTGCAGAAAGCCGAGGCTTTCGAGGTCAAGATAGGTTAAGGGGTTTGGGTCTTCAGGGGCTTAGCCTCCAACCCCAAACGGTTTAAACCCTTAGCCTTGCATACTGCCCCCAGTCTGTAACAGGTAGAGAATAGCTATAATCTTCTCTTATAGCCCTTTCTACGCTTGATGATATAAATCCTGCATTACCCATAATAAGGAGTATACCATAATTCCCATAGTTTGGGGTCCTTAAGGTATTGCAGGATTTATTTCATCAACCGTATGACCCCTAATATGGACTGTTACGAAAGTGGGGGCAGTACCCAGCCCAGGCCCTGAATGGTTTAGGGACTTAGGGTTTAGGGTTTAGGGACTTAGGGTTTAGGGTTTAGGGACTTAGGGTTTAGGGTTCAGGGACTTAGGGTTTAGGGTTTAGGGACTTAGGGTTTAGGGTTTAGGGACTTAGGGTTTAGGGACTTAGGGTTTAGGGACTTAGGGTTTAGGGTTTAGGGACTTAGGGTTTAGGGACTTGGAGTTCAGGGTTTAGGGACTTAGGGTTTAGGGACTTGGAGTTTAGGGTTTAGGGACTTAGGGTTTAGGGACTTGGAGTTTAGGGTTTAGGGACTTAGGGTTTAGGGACTTGGAGTTTAGGGTTTAGGGACTTAGGGTTTAGGGACTTGGAGTTTAGGGGTTAGGGACTTAGGGTTTAGGGACTTGGAGTTTAGGGTTTAGGGACTTAGGGTTTAGGGACTTGGAGTTTAGGGTTTAGGGACTTAGGGTTTAGGGACTTGGAGTTTAGGGTTTAGGGACTTAGGGTTTAGGGACTTAGGGTTTAGGGTTTAGGGACTTAGGGTTTAGGGACTTGGAGTTTAGGGTTTAGGGACTTAGGGTTTAGGGACTTGGAGTTTAGGGTATAGGGTTTAGGGACTTATTAGGGTTCAGGGACTCAGGGTTTAGGGATTTATAGGGTTTAGGGATTTAGGGTTTAGGGGGGACTTAGGGTTTAGGGACTATAGGGTTTAGGGTTTAAGTTAGGGACGTACGCTTTAGGGTTTAGGGTTTAAATCAGGGAGTTAGGGTTTCGGGTTTAGGGTCCAGGATCCTTTGGGTCGGCTGAGTCGGCGCTGCTCTAGCTCTAAAGGTCGACAGAACACAGCAAGAACCTTGAGGTCGTGAGGTATACTTTGATCGGTACATACCACAACATGCTGCACTGTACCATGAATGTTACAATCAGCTGTGCTATTCTAGACTATACGACTAAAGTTACAGGCTATAGCCAATAGTAGACGCCAGAAAGTTGGAACATCATTCTCCTCATGCCCGTAAGAGGTGAAGCACAAGGGGTCCTAGCACGAATCCTTCCAAACCAATGTTCCAACTTTCTGGGATTCGCTGTACCTGAGTATGCTCTCCTCCTCCCTGCGGTACAGTTGATGATACAAATCCTGCATTACCTTAATGTCAAATGTCCCTGGACTACAGGAATTATGGTATATTCCTGATTTGTGGTAATGCAGGATTTATATCATCAGCCGTATGTACTATTCCAGAACTCCGGATCATCCAAAGACCCCATTGATAATTGAGAAAGACCCGGTAATTCCTTATAGGGTCCATAGCGTGATTCATGGATACGCGAAAACAGCCCTTCCTTAAAAAAGGGGGTTGGGGGGATCGCTCAGACATGATATCTTACCTGAGCGCCCAACCTCGCAGA